TTTTGCAGTCAGTATTTTTAGCTTGGAGGCAGGTAGACCTGCAGAGCAAATAATACCAAAGAATACAGCCATTACAGAAGTGCTTCTGTGCTTTTAAATTACAGCACTCTTATTCCAGAACTGAACATAGTGAGATGAGTACATTGGCAAAATAATTATTTATCACCCTTAAAAGCTTCCTTTAAAATTTTTATCATTCAAATACTGGCTGGGGAGAATGCAAAGAACAGAGAAACATATTTTAGGCACTCGTTGGTCTAGCTTTTATTCTGATAAGAACTTACTAAACACCAGTAAAGGGAATAGCAGTTATCAGCCCTAATTCTAACTGTGAATTTTTCAGGCCAAACAGATGCCCCTGCAGAATCCCAGCCAATGTTAGTGACACTAACTAGAGCCCCAGCCTTCCTTCCACTGGAGTCACCAGTTATTCTGCATGGTTTCAAACGAGGGCAGGTTTGCTCCAACAACCTGAGCAAGCAGGGTGCTCTCAGAGAGACACTCCCTGCCACACTGAGTGGGACAGAGACCTCTAACATCCCCCAAAAAAGGAAAATAACAAAGACATGTTCCTTTGCCTCTTTGTTCTTTGATGTATCGGGTTTTTCTTTTAAACTAATTTTTTTTAGCTGATTAAAAATAACCAGAAGCAGACCTTCAGCACGAAAACAGCTACATACACTAAGAGGTCTCTTTATAAAGACACTTGAAAATCTCCTCAAAATCTGTTTTCAGGGAATTTTGCCATCCCTTTTACCTGTGCAACAGCAGAGCTTGGAGCTCTCCCAGGTAGAAAGTTTGGTGCCCACATTTAATTCTGTGCTCCCAGACCCATCAATAGGAGAGTCAGAAAGAGAGCTTAAGGGAGGTCAAGTGCTTTCTACTGAAACAAAGTCAAAGTTCTCAGGCAAATCCATATTCTTGTCTTTAAAAGTGTTCAGTGTAAGAAAAATAAAGCCCAGGTGTAAACATTTGCAAACTGAGTTTATTTTTCTTTCCTATCTATGCACTTGGAACGAAGATTGAAAGGGCAAACCCATCCTAATCCTATCACGGCAATGTTTTTCTCTCCTTCCTGAAACTGAGATTATCATCTCATTGGTTGTCAGACAGCTCCTGAGAGAAGTAATTCACTGGATTTTCCTGTGTAATCACGGCACAGGATTTTATTTCTGTTGTTATCTGGATGGAAAATGCACACAGCTTGTTCTGTGTCTTGCCCCTTTCAAGTTCCTTACAGACCTGGATGTGCCAGGCTTCAAAACACCCCAGCTGCACTAAGAAAGCTAAATCTGGGCTAACTCTAAATTGCAAGCAACTTGCTTCTTAGCAGCTCATCTCAACACAGGCATGAAAAATTCCAGTTTTAAATTTCTATTCCAATTAAGGCAATGAAGACTGAAGTCCCCTAAACTGTTGCCACTACTTTCCAGGACATAAAATTAACGATTTCTACTGCTGTGTACAACTTTCAGTCAAAAGTTGGTCTGATTTATAAGCAAGCAGATGGTTCACACGATAGTCCACAATAAATTACAACAGTTAGAAAGACAGCTACATTTTGAGAGTGACAGTGCAGCTGAGCTACAGATGGGTTTATAGATGACCCTTCCAATTTTTAATAATCTTCATAATTTATCTGTAAGTAAAGAAATGTGAGAATTCCTAATGCAGCTCCTTGACTAAGTACAAATCACTTTTATTTACACAGGCAATACTTCATGGTCCAGCTATCTTCTTAATTAAAGGCAGCAAGATGCTCATATTCCATGCAAGGAAAAAACACTGCTCAGTGAGCAATATGTTCAGCTGGGAGTTCAGGATGCTCTGAACACCCTGGAAAAAGGAATCCCATCCATCTCCTTTTTTTAAAAGATAGCTACAAGGGTGCAACCACTGCTACCACCCACTCATTAACCTCCAGATAAACTTTAGGCTTGGAAAATGGCAAGGTTCCATTTTTTTTCCATTTTGAAAACAGGTTCCTAATCCATACTACAAATCCAGTACTACTGAGCCAGGACTAGGATAGAAAACAGCAGGAAGAGAGATCCTGTTCTCTATAAAACCAGAAGGGATTTGGGGGGGCCACTCTTCAGTGGGTGAGGGAAAAAGGAAGCAAATCTTGGGGGTGTCAGATGCAGAAAGAAACTGGCTGGCAGCAGATTTAAAGTCAGTTCATGTCAGTGATTTCTCTGCCAGGGGCCAAACCACATCCATCCAACCCTTCTGCTAAAATCTGGAATTTCAGTTGGAATGAGAAGCACATCTCAGTGCAGCTCCTCTGTCTGTTAAGGTGATGAAGGGAGCAGAACCCAGCAGGGCTCTTTAAGGCACAAACTACAGAAGTTCAGAGATGCCCACCCAGCAGTCTCTAGAGATGATATTGGAGGGCTTTTCCTCCCCTCTAACCCTTGATCTTCCCTCCCAGCCAAATCAATTTGAAAAAAAATCCACTTTTAAGTGGAAATCCAAAACTATCACTGAAACAGAAGGCAGAGCTCCTAGGAAAGCAAATCTGGGTGTAATTTTAATTACCAACTTCCTGGGATTCAAGAGATGCAGCAGAGAAGAAGAGGCACCAATGACAAATTCAGGCTTTCAAGAATCATCACAATTCCCATTTTGGAGATATTTTGGCAGGGGTTTCCCAGCTCTGTGTGCAGCTCTGCAGCACATGGGGGAGCAGCACCACAGAGACACTCGAGTGGGAAAAACCAGGGTGCAGAGCTCATGGAACTGCAGCCACTTGCAGGAAAAGTGATTTTCCCTGTTCTTTCCATGCAGCAGCAATGCTCTTTCACCCACTACACAGAACAACCTGAAGTTAAATTTGTTGAGTTTATAAAAAAAGAAATTAATTATTCTATAAATAACCAGCATCTAAAAGTCTTTGGAGTTTATATGAAACCATTATTTATTACTGTACACAGCTCTTAGGTTGTTTAATTAAGCATATGAAAAATTGTGTATGTCAGATTATTTCTGGGATGCTCTTTACTATGTTATTTGTCAGATTTGTTTCTGTTACTCTTTACATATTTAAAGCTACATTATGCACTTCTGAAAGCCCAGGGAAGCTCACTCTAGAATTAGTATGGATGTTCATCTGTTACTGAGCTCTGAGTTTGGCACTTCATTTTAACAATATTCATCAGGTCCAGGAACTGCTACCACACTTCCCTCCAAGACAACACTGGGTCATACTACTGTTCTTTAAAAAGATGGAGTGTTGATTATTTAACAATATTTTCAAATATTCTGTAACTATAAACCTTCCATTGACTGCAATCCTTTCATTTGCTTTCAAGAGGCCAAATTCACACACAGCACAGGAAAGCAGAAGTTGTCTGAATGCACTCAGATCTCTGCTGTTGCCCCCCAGCCCAAAAACAATTCTAGGGTTACCACAAACAACCTAAAAGCCAGCACAGGCTATTCCAGTTTATTCCGAAAGTCAGAGGAACAATGGGCATGGTTTGTGTCACTATGTGGTTAAGAGAGTTTCCAGCTCCAGCTCCCGCAGATCAGAGCTTCTGGCTTGCAGCTACACCCTCCTCCAGCTAACAGCAAAAATAATCCTGGATGGGGGATAAAGCAAGGAAGGAACACACACAGGCCTTACCTTATACTTCTTGTTCCTTGCACTCAGTAATCTGTCAATGGTGTGTGGAAATTACTTCCACAGCCCCAGGAAAGGGACACCTTTTGCACCCCCTGATGTATTAAAATGTAGATCAATATGATAATATGAAAACAGTAAACTCCCCAGGAGCAAGAAGTAGTTCTCACTTCTCTTAGCAATCAAATATTATTTCCATCAATGTAACTAGAGAAAAAGAAATGTAGGTAGTGATTTGTCAGCCTATTTATCAAACCAACTGCTGCACCTGGTTCCCACATATTTTATATTAAAAGGTGAATGACATGTAAGGCTTTACAGGTTCTGTTTTAATTCAGGGCTGAAAGCATTTATAGATATGAAGGTTTTCTTATTAAGTTTTCTTCCTGAATGATTATGCTTGTTCAAATGAATTCCTAGCCATCTTACAGAGGTTACAGCCTTCAATAATTAAATGGGGTATGGTATTGGCTATTTGTTCATTATGCTCCATGTTCCAATTTCTACAAGAGCACTGAAATGCTAAGATAAAAGGATGCTAAGTTTATTTAATTAGCTATCTGCCATTGTTATCAGAAGGGAAGGTTGGTATCTGACTCGAATTAACACTTTAGATCAGGAAACAAGACAGATGATATCTTCTGACATAGATCCTGGAAACTGTGTAATTGTTCCAGTTATTTTAAAGCTGCTCAGGACATACAGGATTGCATTAGAAAGACCAAAAGTCACCAACAGCCAACAAAGTGCTGCTATGAAAATGTTATTTTAATCACACTTGGGTTCTTTCTCATTTCCAGTAGTTAACATTCTTGCTACTTTTGTCAAGCAGTCACTCTTAGCAGCATTGAATTTTAACTACACATATTTTTAAACAACATGAAATAGGATTGAGGACATAATATGGGTTCATTGTGCTAATGAACAGATCAGGCCCTTGTGCCAAGGCACCACCTCTCTGCCATCCAGATAAGCTGTAACTGGTTAAAAGCTGTAACTGGTTAGAAGCTGTAACTGGTTAGAAGTGAGGTGCACTTCAGAGCTGCCAGCCATCCCTCTGCCTCAGAAAGAACAGCTCCTCCTGTTGAGGGTTGTTTATGATTTACCTCAAAAGAAAGCAAAGACAGTGTGAAACTTCAGAGGTCCTGAAGAGTTTTAACTGTGGCTTACACAAACCAGAGCCACGGTATCAACTTTGGAACTGCCCAGAGGATGCAGTGTCTGGATGAAGCCCTCAAAACCTCACTCCCCAAACTGCATCTGTATAGAGAGGCCAATGGCCAAAGAAATTTATCCAGTAGCCATGTCACCCTGCCACTCCATGGTTTCTTTCTGTAAGGGCTACAGAAATAAACTTATTCCTTCCCCAAAAACTTACTGGTCTTGATCGGATTTCTTTGGCGTAGAGAGGTTTCAAGAATTCTGAATCTCCTTCAAGCTTCAGACCCTTTTCTGTGATCCTCAGGTTCCCCATTCCATCCTGAAAGACAGGCAAAAAGAAACAACCCTATTAGTTACAATTACTAAATTCACCAGGCTGCCAATAGCTGATTTTTCTCATTGAAGATAACATGTATAGCACTGGGAGGCACTGGAGAATGAAATTACTTGTGTTATCCTTGTAGCTCAGTTTCTGTGGAAAAAAAAATTTCTATTCAGAACTATCTGCAATGCCCCCCAGTAAACCATTTACACAGATGAAAGATGTTCCTTTAAGCTAAGTCATCCTCTACTCACAGAGAGGCAGTGATGCTCTGTGTTAACAGGAAACTATTCACTGTAATATTCACTGCCTGCCTTTATAATATAATAATATACCTGCTCATTCATAGCAAATCCCTGTAAAGATTGTGTGATTAATATCTGTACAGATACACTCACAGAGAGGAGAACTGTACCAAAATATATTTCACCTCTGACACATGAAAGTTCTAACTTTTATTAAGATGAGGGATTTAGCTTCACTTAGGCTATAATTGCTTACAAAGGGTATGCAAGAAACAGGTACATCTATTATCAAAACCACATCAAATGGAAGATATTATTTCCAAGATTCAGGGTGATTGTCAAAGTTTGCAAGGACTCAGGTAAACTGTTTTGTTCTGAGAAAAAGATGGTTTGAAGAATAACTTTTAGCAGAAAAGTGACTGAAATAACCATGGAAGTAAAACTAGCACCTCCATGCCTAACTCACAGCTGTTTTGGGGATTTTATAGGAAAGGGGAATGCATTTGGGTAGAAGGCATAAGAAGATCAAGAAGAAACGAGGAAAATCCAGGAGAACCACGTGCATTTGCATACACGCCTAGCATGCTTTCCAATCCAGACACAAAAATGAAACCCCACCTGTCTACTTCCTCTTCCTCCCACTGTAAGAGCACCTCCAGCCCCAGATGAGGAATCAGTGTCTCTCCAAGAGAGTGGAGATCTAACCCAGACAGATTTCCATGAACTGCTGCCAAAGGCCTGGATGTGGAGGGATGAAAATCAGAGACATCGCGCGGCTCAGCAGCAGCGCTGGTCACCTGCCAGAGGTTCTCCCTTTCCAAGAAGAGCCATTCCCAGGTAGTTCCCTGCCAAGTTAAGACTGTTCTTGCCAGATCCTGGTGTCTCATGAACAAAGGTGATGCTGGTTGATAAAGTGACCGCTGTCATCTCATTTAGAACTCAAGGCTGTGAGCGAATTTGAGAGGCAGATGCTGGAAATGCTACTGAGATGGGTCATAAAATGCCACTCCCCACATTTGTTGGCCCTAGGTGTAAAATATTGGCCTATGAATTCTGGTTTGGTGGTGGCATAGAAGGGGTTCATTTATCTCAAGCAGAAGTATGGCGGAAAATGAGTGAAATATGATTATTCACCAAAAACCCAGATTAAATTTTGATAGCAGTGTGCTTTGCGATTTGAGCAAGCAGGAGTTATTACAGCTATCTACAGACCCTCACACGGTTTGGGCTGCTAAAAAATCTCTACAGTTTTTTTTTTTCCCCAAAATAGATTATCTCAGTAAGGTTACAAGCCCTGAGGGCTTTCACATAGCAGTGTCTTCTCTGGTTTTAATCAGAAAGTTGCAGGTCAGGCAAGCTGCTCTGTGCCCCAGCCAGCTGCAGGAAGGACCAGCTCCACGGACATGCACTGCTGACCCCTCCAGGGCTGGCTCCTCAGCTGAATGGGGCAATACTTTTCCAGAACATCGACCTAGGGATAAAAAGGGAATTTTCAAGCCACCACTGAAGCTGTGGCAAACCAGCAATTTCAACGACTCACAACCCTATTTTGTTGTAATGACACAGATACAGAATCCCACTCTGCCCTTCTCTTGTGTGTTTCTCTTTCTCTCCTTCACAAGATGTGGTCCAAAGGATTTTTACATATAAAAACCATACATAAGGGGAGTTTAGCTGACAGCCAGCAGGTCCTACACATCCCAAAAAAGCACCAGGCCTAAGGGACAATGTACTACAACCAAAACATCAAGGACACATTTGATTAATCAAGTTGGTGAATCCTCTTACAAACCAACCAGATTGGAGAGAAAGAGACATTTTCCCAGCTTTTTTCTCAATCTTAAATCCTTCTCAACCTCCACTCCACACTCACTTCTCCCTCCTCCTGCATCTGCCAGAAGCAATAAAAGCTGTGCCCACCACAAATCCTCTCTTGACTTCCAGGTGTTTGGGAGTGGATCAATGCTTAGCACTGACTTACCACGATTAACTCCCCACTGCTCATGTTTCTCATGATTAAAGCTGACAGTTTTTTGTGGTGACAGTCTGCCTCAGCAGGTGAAAAAACAAGCAAAGGTTGCACCCTGAATTTAACAAATATCTTGGCCTGTGATCATAAAATCATTATAAAATTATATTCCTCTATTATTTCCCATTAGTAAAAAATAAAGATGCTTGCAGGATTATATAGAGGTCCCAAAATACAGATACATTAGAGAGAAATCATTGTGGGAAAGACTACTTCACACGTTGTTTTGGATAAAGTATCTTCATCCTCCCTAAATTATATGGTTTAATAACAAATAAATGTCATATTCTGCTACAGAGAATAGATATGAAAGTTCCTATGAAATTTCATGGACTGTGACCTATAAAATGTAGCAGAAAACTGCCTAGAGTGACAAAGACCAAGATGTTTTATTAAACATTGTGTCTGTGACTGGTATATATCCTTATCTGCCACTCTTCTGCTTGTGAATAAGGAGAAGCATTGATTATTTCATACTCTGCCATCTGAAAATCATTGTTTCTCTCCTTTTTACTAATGGACTCCTCAGCAGAGTGAATGACTTTATAGTGCAGGCACAAGCCTGGTTTGTGGGAGCTCCCAGGAGGCAAGCTCCAAACAGGAGGCACAGAGTTCCTCCTTCACCACCTGCAGTGAATTCTTCTGCTTTTTGGGAGGGCATGGCAAAAACTTTCACATCAAGTACATCATTTATGCCCTCTCTCTTTTTATGCAGTGCCTTGTACTAGACAGGCATAAAAATTTATGCGCTGTTGCTGACTGCTCTGGGTTGAAAGGGGATAGCAATCCTGAATAACATAAATGTCATTTTGGTGATGCTGAATGAGAAAGGAATTTTGGATTTTAGTAGCTTGAGAAGCATCTCATTTTTACAGCCAATTATGAATGTTGGCATTCCTCTTAGGGGAAGAGCTCAGCATTGATGGTGTCTGATCACCAAAGCTCCTCTCTGCCTTTTCATTAGCAATGTGGCCACAAAAGTGGTTAAAGCCCACCCTATGTTTGTTTTATTTTGCTTTTTAACAATCTGAGTTACTTTAATTTTACTTTTTTTTTTTATTTATATTTTTTTAATTACAAGGCTGGTAGCAGGAAGATTCGGCTAACAGAATAAGAAAAAACGAGTTACTTTAATTTTACTTTTTTTTTTTTTATTTATATTTTTTTTAATTACAAGGCTAGTAGCAGGAAGATTCAGCTAACAGAATAAGAAAAAAACAGCCACCCTAACCAGAGACATGATAAAGGCTTAAAACTGAGAGTAGGTTTAGATGAGATATTACGAAGAAATTCTTCCCTGAGGGAGTGCTGAGGCCCTGGCACAGGGTGCCCAGAGCAGCTTTGGCTGCCCCATCCCTGGAAGAGTTCCAGGCCAGGTTGGATGAGGCTTGGAGCCACCTGGGATAGTGGAAGGTGTCCCTGCCCATGGAAGATGGAGTGGAACTGGATGCTCTTTGAGGTCCCTCCCAACCCAAACTTTTCTATAATTCTACAGTAAATACCTGGATTGGTTCTGGCTGCACTGATCTGGATTGATTCCACACAGGGGCAGGGGGAATTCTCAGTGCTGTCTCATTCAGTGGCAGCTTTATGAGACCAGCTGGGCTCACAGTGCAGCTTAACCTACTCAAGAACCAAGGTGACAGTGACACACATTCACTGTGTCCCCTGGGCCAGGATCCTTTGTCCTTTACAAACATGAAATGCAGCCTCAAACTCTTCTGTGCTTTCCTCTGTTCTCCTGGCATTGCTGAACAAATTTCCTGCTTATTGAGGTCTTTCTAAGGATTTTAAGGACACTGGTGACGGGTGACAGATTGCTCCAGCTCTGCTGGCCACCACCAGCTCCAGTGCTTGTTCCCACTGGGTTTCCCTGCACCTCCATCCCTCTCCAGTTTTCAGGAGCAGAGTGGTTGGCAAGGTTTGTCTCTGCACAGCAGGTAAGCATTTATTTTTTTGCTAGGAATAAACTGAAGTTATGTTCAGCAATGTCCTGTGGGAGAGAATTATCTTTGGAGACTGCTTGTGTCAGATGGCTGAAACACCTGATTATCGTTGCTTGTATTATTGATTGCTGTGCTCTGCATTGCTTCCAGATATGTGCAAGTTATTACACAGCTCAATACATCCAAAGTTAGGAAAAAAACCCTCAGCAAAGGCAAGTGACCTCGTTTTTTTCTCCCCTCCTGGGACGATATCTGTGCTGTCCTTTTCTCTCTGACTTGATATTAAATGTTTCCAGATTCCAGGTACAGAACATATCACTGCCAGTTCTTCACAGCCTCAAACTTGTTCTAATTGCATCTGCCCTCCCTCCTTCCCCTGATTTTCTTCAGCTAATTCATCATCTTAATAAGGATCCCAGCATCCAGCTGTGGATCAGCAGCAATATTTTCCTATGGAAGCCACCCACCAGCAGCACCAGTCCTAGAAATTAAATCTGGTCCAGAGCAAGACAGGTAAGGAGATCATGTGTGAAAACTTCCTCTGGTGTAAGACCTTGCTTTGAGACCTCGTGTACAGACTCAGGTTTGTGTGGACAGCAGAGAAAACCAAGGCAATGTACCATTACACAGCATATACAACCATCTCCCTGTGTGCACAGATCCAGGATTATGCTGTGAATTGCACTGTGAGGTCTCATGTCCACGACTGCCATCACCTCCCTCCCTCTTCCTCTGCTTCCTGACCTCAGATGTCCCTGTCTGATGCCTTACTGGCAG